TATTAACAGAATGACATAGGCCCATCTCTGCAGGACTCCCCAAGGGTGACAGGAGGTGTTGTGGTTTAGTCATAATGGTTGTGACTTGGTTCTTCATGCTGTATCTGAAATTACTTGTCAAGGGAGTGTCTTCCTTGCATGGTCAGTTCTGGCATCAGCACCTGCTCTGCCCTGGGTCTGTCTGATGGTGGCCTTGCTGCTTATCTGTCCTTCTGCCAGGAGTTACCTTTGCTTTGTGTGTCCCCAGAGAAACAAGGTCCTTTTCCACTGGTAGAACGGATCTCATGTGAATTTTGGGGGGTGGCTGTTAATTGCTGGTGGATCTCAACGTGGTGTCTTGGAGACTGAATTCTGGATGCCACAGGTTCTTGCTCAAGATTAAAACACCTGTCAACTAGTTGGGATGTTGAAGGTCTGGACTTACCTAGATAAGAACCATGGCTGTTTGTTGTAAAAGTATCTGAGAAGTTAGGCTCATAAACTGAGGAGAGTTGAGCTTGTTGGTTTATCACCAATTTGGATGCATTTCAGCCAAGTTAAACCTACCAAGGGTTGGGTGGCTAGGAGACACCTGGTGAGGAAGCTCAGTGGTGAATGAGAGAGATCCACAGGTAAGTCAGGCTGCTCTGTACGTATCCTGGGAGCCAGGTGGACATTGTCATACCTGCAGCGAGGGGAGTGTGGAAGGAAGGAGTTCAGAAGCAGGAGTGAAATGTGACTGCATTCTTCTTCATGGCCATGTCTTTCCTCTGAAGGAATAAAGGAGAGTTGTGAGAGGCTTCAAACCAGGCAACCTGCTCTGGAAACACAGCAGATAAAGGGAGAGGAAAAGTGAGGGGTGTTGTGGTCTCCTGAAATGGAAGGAGCTGTGGCACAGCAGGAGGAAGCTTCCTGGGGACTGGGAGGTGGAGATGTTGGGAGATCAGAGAGGGAATGGCAGCAGACAGGACAGGAAGTGAGTAAAATACCACGGTGTTTGTTGGTTTCACTCTGTAAATATGGGAGGCTCTTCCAGCAAAAGGACAGCTTGTTCTTTTTTTCAAATGTGACTTTGTACTAGTTCTTCTCTCAAAAAAAAAACCCCAAAAATACACCCCACAGGAGAGCAGTCTTCTGGTTCTCTTCAGCCAACTGTCAGTTCCTTTGCTGTTGGAGGTAGCTGTGCTCCATCAAGGCAGTGCTTGCTGCTGGAGAGGTGTCCAAGGAAGAGTTTTGAAGAGTACCACCGTGGAGCTGCATGAGGCACTTCCCCTGATGTCCCTGGGAGAAGGAAACTGCAGGTGAAAGGATCAGAAGAGAAGGGACAGTGCTGGAGCTGTCAGCAGGATTAATATCCCTGCTTCCTATTTCCTACATTAAGTGAATGGTACCCAAGAGGGCCAGAAAGAAATAGTGAAGGATAGTTATCTGAGATGAGAATTGCTGATTGTCTGGTGTTGGAAGATGAATAAACTGCCTTTATCTTGACCCTGCCTGACACAGAGTGAGGCTTTGGACTTCTTGCCAGTTTTTCCTTAGTAAAAAGGAAAAAAAACCTTCTCATCAGGATGAAAAACGCCTGGATCCGAACACAGATCACAAAGCTGAAAAGAAAAGGGATATTTAAATATTGCTGCTGAGGTTGTCAAACAGAGATACACATGCAACATGCCTGACTCTTACTCCTTGTGTTGCTGGGGCTGAGCTTCATCTGGGACATTCTCATGGATGGCAGACTTTCTGCCAGTCTCCTTTTTGGAAGTCACACATCCCTGGCACAACTGACAGTTGACACTGGAAGAAATTCCAACAGCTGAGCCACCCTTGAGAAGAAGCAGTCTGAGAGCCCAGGGCTGTGACTCGCTGGTGTGCTCTAGCAAGGCCTCCCTGGATGGGGTTGCACCAAGAAGCAGGAAGAAGAGTTGGGAGGGCTGTAGCAATCTGCTGGCCAGGGGTACCCAGCCTTGGCAGGGGCTGTGGGACAAAGCCAGCCAGCTCTTCCCAGGAAGACATCAAACTTTGTGCTGTAGGAAGGATTTGTGCAGCTCTCACCAAGTTGGTGCTGGTAGAAAGGTGAGATTGGCATTGGTGTGTCCTGGCTTTGCGTGTCTCTTGCCCTTTGCAGGTGTCACCTGCAGCCAGTTGTTTAACCAGGTGGCGATTCCCTGCATGACAGGTGAGGATCAAAGCACATCAGACAAGAACCAAGACTTGGAGTGTCCCTATGCCAGCCCTAGACTTGTCCACCCACCACATCTGTCCTCGTATGGAGACTTGATTTGAGGAGCTGGGGAACCACTGTTTGTGGAACTGTTCCCTGAGGAAGCTGCAGACTCCAGGAGGGGAAAACTACTGTTGAGATTCGCCCCAAGTCCCAGCAGATGCTGCCTCTCCCAAAAGGCCTGTTGGAAGTGCAGAAGCTTTTCCTCTCTCCTGTCTGCTCTGTGTGCACTGAAATGTTGTTTTTTCCCCACCCTCCCAAGACAACAATGACATGAAAGCGCTGTGGCCCCGGCCGGGAGGCGTTGTATAACTGGTGGGAGCTCTTTGTATTGTGGCAGTGCTTTTGGGTCCTCAGCCACCACTGGGATCTTATTCTCCTACATACTGTGCAAATTAGGAGGCCAGACTCTTCCCTGCCCACAGGAACGAGCGAAGCTGATCTGGCTGGGATCAGTGTGGAACGGGTTTTGTGGCTGATGCTGTGCTGATGACAAGAGCATTAGACTTTGGAATTTGCTTGGCTGGAGGAGAAGACCTTTTCTTTACATAGAATCATAGAATCATGGAATGGTTTGGGTTGGAAGGGACCTTAAAGCTCATCCAGTCCCAACCCCCCTGCCAGCAGCAGGGACACCTTCCACTAGACCAGGTTGCTCAAAGCCTCATCCAACCTGGCCGAGAACACTTCCAGGGAGGGGGCATCCAAAACTTCCTTGGGCAACCTGGGCCAGTGTCTGACCACCCTCACAGTGAAGAACTTCTTCCTAATATCTCATCTAAACCTCTCCTCTTCCAGCTTAAACCCATTTCCCCTTGTTTTCTCATTAACTGCCCTTATGAAAAGTCCTTCCCCAGCTTTCCTGGAGCCCCTTCAGGTACTGGGAGGCCGCTATAAGATCTCCCCAGAGCCTTCTCTTCTCCAGGCTGAACAGCCCCAACTCTCTCAGCCTGTCCTCACAGCAGAGCTGCTCCAGCCCTCGCATCATCCTGGTGGCCTCCTCTGGACTTGTTCGAACTGGTCCATGTGTTCATATTGTGCATCCCCATATCCCCCTTGCAAAGGGATTCAACTTTAAGATGCTTTTACCCATTTCCTTGTGTTTACACCTTTGTGGCGTGGCTGCCTTCTGTTTACCTTGGAGGCTGTGCTCTGAAGGAGATCCTGGAAAGGAGTTGGAATGATTTCCTGATCCCAAAGGTGGGATTTCCTAGATCCATGGGTGGATTTAGCTGGTGAAGATTTGTATTGCTGCTGTTTTGTGTGATGTGAGTCCACAGCTGGGCTGGTGCAGTGGCATCTTCTGAAACATGTTGTGTTTCTTTGGGCATAAAGCCTCCCAAGTTTGTTAGTGAGTGACTAGATCTGCTGCATGTTCACATAAGGTGGGATCTGTCCTCAAAGCTGTAATTTGTGCTCACGATTAACCAACACAAAGGAATTTCATGGCCCAAATGCCAAACTGGAGTGACTAAGGGCTGGAGGTAGCACCAGACAGCAGTGATGGAGCATGGGGAAGGGAGCAGGAGCTCCTCTGTGTAACATCTCCAGCATTTTACCCCAAGCTCAGCCTGGGTGGTTCAATCCTGGTGGCTCTGCTTTCTTGCTGGGTCTGTACCCCCAGTTTGAGCTCAGCATTCACCCACAGCACCAGTGGGATCTGGATCAGACCTGGCCATGTGGTCACATTTCTATTAAATTAGCTGGCCCTACACAATCCAGAGCTCCGTGCTGGCTTGGTGCCACTTCCAGAAGGACAAACAATGCCTGATGTGGCACTGCAGTCTAGCAGGGCAGGAACTGTGTCCACTCCAGAGGGAAATCCTAAAGGATGCTGTCAGATTGAGCCAGCTCTGGGTCACTACTCAGCTGTGTGGCTGCAGTGGTCGTGGTCTGTGAGAAGATCCCAAGGATATTTATTCAAATGTGCTATAGTTACACTGAAACCATGGAAAACTGTGTGTCACCTTGTCTTCCCTGTCCTGGCAGGAGCTGTAGAAGAGTGCCTAGGAGCAAGCTGGCTAATGCCATCTGACATTCCACCAGGAGCAAGCTGGCTAATGCCATCTGACATTCCACCAGGATAAAGGAAATCCAAGCATGTCAGCCAGGCACCAGAGTCCCCATGAGGTGACAGCAGAGAAGGGGATGTTCCAGGAGAGGTTTAGATTGGATCTGAGGAAAAACTTCTTCCCCTAAATGGTAGGGAAGCATTAGAACAGGCTGCCCAGGGAGGTGGTGGTGTCACCATCCCTGGTGGGATTTAACAGATGGGTAGATGAGGTGCTGAGGGACATGGTTTAGAGGTGGAATGGGCAGTGTTGGGATTATGATTGGACTTGGTGATCTTCAAGGTCTTTTCCAACCACTACTATTCTGTTTTCCCAGTGTGTTGGTTATCTACCTGCACGGTGCATTGTGCTGTGCCTTGCTGCTACCTGGTTTTTCAGGCTGCTGGTGTCCTTGAGCAAGTGCTGTCAGCTGGCTTGGGCTGCTCTTCACCATGAGAGATGTCTCTTTGAAATGGGGCTGCAGCCAGTCATCACACATGTGACTGGAGCTGTGTTCCAGTTGGGTTCATAGTCAAATGGGACACAGCCCAATGCAGTAACTCCTGTTGTGTAGCTTAACTAAGAACCCTGAAATATCATTTATACTCCCAGCCTGGGAGCCAAATATGAAGTTGTGAAGAGACTAGTTTGGATAGAGCTGCTTCTTACCAGCATTTAGTGTGCCAACCTTTGTCATCTCATGAGCTTTTGTACCCAGCAAAGGCAAGAGAGATGCTTTTCCACTCAAAATGAGCGTCTGGAGTAAGGGAGCAGGTCAAAATGCAGACCACAGCCTGGTCCTGCAGTGTTCCACCACCCACCTGGTCAAAAATCAGGTGAGAGCCACAGACTACAGAGCCCAGCATCCTCTGCTTCATTCTGCACATCCTCTGATCAACGACAGAACTGCCTGCTGGGGCCAGTAGTCCTAGACCTTGTTTCCTGGGCTTGCCTGGGAACAGGTAAGTGACAATCTAGTCATGTGGGAAGGTGATGAGCATGCTTGCCTGGACTAGGTGTGCCTTGAACTTCCCTGGTGTGATTTAGTCAGGAATAAGATACCTGCAAAATAGTTTGAATTCTCCTGGAGCTGCTGACCTTGTAGGAGTACGAGGAGTCAAAAGTGTTTGAGCTGGACAGGACCTGCACAGCTGAGGGTCCAAACAAGCACGAGGAAATGCTGTGACCTCTGCTTCTTTCTCTGAAAGCCTACAAATATCAAGGAGAAGCTACAAATGGGGTTTCCTTGGTGTCTTTGCCCATATGACCAAAGCCTTCTGCACCCTCGTGCAGCACTCTTCAGGGCAGAAGTGATTTGAAATGGTTCTGGGATGGGAATTGTGGTTGTCTAGTAAATGGGACTGTTTGGGATTCCAGAGGAGGTGAGGAAGGATCTGTGGGTGCACGTGGAGCTGGAATCAGGAGGGCTGGTTTCTTCTGTTGGACTCATGTGTTGGCTGGCCAGGACAGCCCTGTGTTTTCATCCTGCCTGGCAGACCTTGGACCATGTTTTATCAGGGCTCTTCCTCCCCACAGCAGCAAGCAGAGCTTCCTGAAGCAGTCACTGAGCTGGACTGATTGGTGATGGGGAGAAGAGTGGGTGCTCTGGGTGCTCTGGCAGCCAGAGATGAGCCCCTCGCTGCTGTTTGTGCATGTTGTGCTGCCTGTGCGAGTTCACCAAGTTCTCCTGTGGGTTAACTGGAGCTGAGACCTATGGGAACTGGTTGTGCAGCTTTCTGCCCTACAAAGGTGGAGCCAGCACAGCTCCACCCGCCCATGCTGAGAGCCCAAGCCATCCAAACAAGTTCCTCATGAACAGCATCATATCTGCTCCATCCTTTCTCACCATGGGCATCTTGCGGTGTGGCCGTGCCAGGACCATCCAGCTCCATCCCTCCCCAGCAGCTCTTCTGCGCTGTGTCAGCCCACCAGCACGGAGGTGAGATCAGAGGGTTGTGGATGTGGAAGAGGCTCCATTCCTCTCCAGAGCTGGAAAAACCTGGTTGGGTTTCAGCAGAAGCACAGGGTGCTGGGGTGATGTTCCCAGAACCTGCCCAGCCAGAGTGCAGGAGATCTGCAGCTTGCTGCCACAGGGAGGAGAGTCTGAGGTGTGTGGGAAAGGGCACTCTTGTCTTTTCCAGGAGATCCAAAAAGAAGGAAGGAGGGAGCTATGAAATGTGCCCCACACCAGGCAGTAGGAGATGTGCCATGGCAGGAGGTCGTGCAGGGACTGTGGCACACGGACACGCCGGTCACCTCACCAGCCCTGGTGAATTCCAGCATCAAGGTCCATGGCTGGGACACTGCTGTGCCACCCTGCTGCAGGCAGGTGCCCACTTCCAGGCTCAGATGTGACAGTAGCTGCTGTGTCACCTCCTGTCCTGTCCCTGGCTGTCTGCTGGCACAACAGTTGGTGTGAATCCTTTATAATGGGAGCATCCCTAATTGGGGAAGCCAGCTTGGCTAATTCAGAGCAGGTTGACTTTTATCTGAGGGGATTTAGGGAACATTCCCACGAACAGCTCTGGCAGAGCATGGCCAGTCTCTGGAGAGGTGGCTAACAGCTGGGGACAGTAATTTCTTCCAGATCCAACAATGCTAGAAGAGGATGTCTGTCAGGAATCCCAGGACAGATGTACTTAGAAGACCCTGGAAGAAAAGGGTTACTTACCCCCACCACTCCCCCCCCCACACACACACACAACCAAGGGAATAAATCCACGTTTGTGTACAAGCAGAGGCAAAGATGACAACTTGAGAACTGTTTTCAGCATAAAACCCTTCCTTGATCACTTGGTGTTTAAAGAGGTAAGACCAAAAAGAAGAGAGGGACAAGCAAAGCAGTGGAGTGATGGGACAAGTGCCTTTTAAATTCACAAGTGCCTTTACCTCCAGCACAGCAAAATACTGATGCACCTCAAAAGATGGGAAACTGATTCTTTGTCTTTTGACCTGGTTATACCAAACTATCTCCCTTCCTCCTGTGTTTCCATGTTACCACTCCTTAGGAGTGAATTCTCTGTCTACCTGTACAACCCAACTCGCACAAATCTCTTGGTTGTAGAAGGAAATGTGATGTTTCAGTGATGTGTTTTGGATCCAGGACAGATGTTACCTAAATAGATCTCTGGTTTGTCTCTCTTGACCAACAGTGCTTTTTGAGCAATAGACCTAGTGGGTTAATATTACTTGGTAATATAGGGTCTCTTCTTTTGGGGAGTAGAAGCATGTAGACTTCCCAGGGACCTCCTGCTGCAGGGCAAGAGCTTCCCCAGAGCCCCTGGCTGAGCTGTGCTAGGCTGAGATGAGGCTCTGGGAAGCAAACTGGTTGTTCCTCCTGGTCCATAACTCTTCCTGGTCTGTTCTCTCTTCAGCGTGGCACGATGAGGAGGCGTTATGAGGATGATGGCATCTCCGATGATGAAATTGAAGGGAAGAGGACGTTTGACCTCGAGGAAAAGCTGTCCACCAACAAGTTTAACTCCACCTTTGTGGTCTTCATGGAAGGCAAAGGTTTGTGTTGGGGCTGCTGGGCTACAGCATGTGCTACTGCTGTCAGTAAGCAGGCAGCAGCTGAGGTTAGCCAGTTCTGGAGTGAGGCATGGTGTGTGAGATGACCTGTGCATCTGACTACACCCACAGCCTCTCCAGCTGCCAACTTGAAGGGTGGTTACAAGGCAGTGGTGGTGGTAAGGAGATCCTTTCCCACTCTCCTGAATTTTGCTGCCTTTTATTTTACATCCTTCTGGGAAGTTGGGAAAACTGTCTGCTGTTCACACCAGCTCTGTGCTTTCCTCTGCTGGACTTGCATAACCCAAGTGGTGCAGAGCAGGTGGGAGATGTTTCTACCTGCTCCCCTCCAAGTCCTGCAGCAGATCCCAAGCAGCTGGAAGGTGATGTGGGGCTTATTGGTGGAGGATTAGCTCAAGCCTGCTCAGTCCTTGGGGCAGGAGAGCTAGTAACAGGGAGTGTGTGTGGGAAACAGTGTGGAATCCACTTGGTCTGGAGAGTGATGAGCCAGGCTGCAGCGCTGCGGGCTCGCTGGGACACATGGCAGCCAGGAACGAGACGGTTTGCCTGGGTCAGCACCTGTAATTGCAGCCACATGTCTACTAGATGCTTAATTCAAAGACTATGTGGGATCTCTCCCCTTTCTTTCACCACATGTGTGGCTCGGTGGGATGTCTTTTCATCACGCAGCCAGTGCAGCCCTCATGAGGATTTACCATGAGGGAAAGGCATTTCTTCAAGACCTCTCTTGCCTGGCTGTGAGCTTCTTGGGGAAGTGAGGACCAAAAACCATGCTGTTCCCCTGTCTGGTGCAACCTGTCAGAGCAAAATCCCCCTTCCCTGGGGGGCCTGTCTGAGGTTTGTCAGCAGCACACACCACGCTGCTCACAGAACTGCTGCAGAGGAGTTGCAGGATCTCCACGGAGGTGTAGAAATAGTGAGGAGCAGGGCTTGCTTTAGCTAGCTAGCCTTGCCACAGAGGTATGAGGAGATACTTGGGTCTCAGGGCCCTGAACAACCTGATCTGAGTCTGAAGTTAGTTTGCTGGAAGCAGAGTTGGACTAGAGATCTCCAGAGATCCTTTTTAAGCTCAGTTTTGTAGTCCTCTGAAGGAATCTCCCCTAACACCTTCCCTCTTCTTTTCTCTCCACACCAGACTTCACAGTTGAATACATCCAGCGGGGTGGCCTGAGGGACCCTCTCATCTTCAGGAGCTCTGATGGCCTGGGGATAAAGTAAGTGTCAGGGGCACAGAGTGGTGGGTGACTCTGGCCCAATTTCTTCTCTCTCCCCACATTGTGTGGGGGTCTGATCCTGGTAGCTGGATCCATGTGCTGCCAAGTTGTCCCATCCATGCTGTTCTTGACATGCAGTGAGCAGAGAGAAGTATCTTCCACCTCAGTTACCCTGTTCTTACTAGTCTGTTTGGACTTAAAAATGAGAGGACTGTAGGTTATCACAATTCAGCCAAATGTCTGGAAAGTCCTATTGCTGCTCTGATGCAACATCTGGCTGGGTTTCTTTCCTAGTCATAATAGGCATTTATTGCCAAAGAGTCGAGCAATTTTGAGTATTTCTGGCATTTTCCAGAATTCCAACCTGATTGGCCCAACACAGTTACTTCTAAACTCCCATCTCTCTCTCTCTCTCTTGCCACAGTAAGTTAATCAAAGTTTACAGCTTTGAATGTAAAGCTGTACTGATGCAAGACTTTGTGCTGGTTTATGATGTTCATATAAATACGCTGTGGGGTTGTAAATGTGGTTTTAAGGCAAGTTAATACTACATCCAAACACTCCAGCTGTCTTTTACAAAATAAATTTAAAAAAAATCCCTGATCTGATCCAACGTTTCTTCTGGGTCAGTGTTTTTTTGGTTTTGATTAACAGGAAAGCTAGAGGAATAATTTAACCTTAGCAAACTTTGTCAGAGCCAACATCAGCAATACTGCTCTTAACTTCCTCAACTGGCTGTGAACAGATGGGCAACACCTCATCCAGTGTGTCATGTGGTGAATTACCTAGAAAAGTTGTGCTGGGCTCAGTTTTAACGGCTGGGTGATTTGGAAGGGTACAGATTTGATATTTTGGATTACCATGTGGGCAAAACTGGATTTCTCTTGAGCTTTTGGTTATTTCTTTGAATCAAGAGCTGCTTGAATGGCTTCCTGCCCGTTCTGCCTGTGACAGCAGTGTTTGTACAGATAAGTACCCAGTACAAACAGGCAGAGGGGTTATGCTGTGTCAGTGAAATACGCTGCTTGTACTCGTCTGGCTGTGCCCTGAATCACAGAATCATGGAATGGTTTGGGTTGGAAGGGACCTTAAAGCTCATCCAGTTCCAACCCCCCTGCCAGCAGCAGGGACACCTTCCACTAGACCAGGTTGCTCAAAGCCTCATCCAACCTGGCCTTCAACACTTCCAGGGAGGAGCAGCCACAGCTTCTCTGGGCAACCTGGGACACTGTCTGACCACCCTCACAGTGAAGAACTTCTTCCTAATATCTCATCTAAACCTCCCCTCTTTCAGCTTAAACCCATTTCCCCTTGTTTTGTCATTAACTGCCCTTATGAAAAGTCCCTCCCCACCTTCCTGGAGCCCCTTCAGGTACTGGGAGGCCACTAGAAGATCTCCCCAGAGCCTTCTCTTCTCCAGGCTGAACAGCCCCAACTCTCTCAGCCTGTCCTCACAGCAGAGCTGCTCCAGCCCTGGCATCATCCTGGTGGCCTCCTCTGGACTCGTTCTAGCTGCTCCAGGTCTCTCTTGTGATGGAGGCTCCAGAACTGGAGTTATGGGATAACTCATACGAGCAGTCTTTAAAACAAGAGCTAGGTTTGCTTAGCTCAAGGCCTGCCTGCTCGTTTGCTAGAAGCTGCGGTACAACAGCCCAGGCTCTAGAGATGGTGTGTCCTGTTCCCAAATCTGCTTCCTTAGCCAGAAGTTGCCCCCATTGTTTCACCCCAGCCCAGACCTGTGCCCACAGAAATCTAGTTGCATGGTTTTCATCCACACCCAAGAGGCAAAAAGCAGCACAGTAGTATGTTCAGGATACCAGTACCGGGGTTACAGGTGGGAAGGGTCTGAAAGTAGAAGCGCTTCATGATTTTTTTTAGCAAGGTGTTTGTCCTGCAGGATGCCAGATCCGGACTTCAGCGTGAACGATGTGCGGCTGTGTGTCGGTAAGTGTCTGGGGAATGGGCAGAGTCCTCGGGGTTATCAAAGCTACAGGTCTGGTTTTGTGGTTCCCCCAGTGTGCAGCTGATGGAACCTGAGCTGTCCTCAGCCAGTGGATCACAACTCTTGTGTGCTTGGGTCTAGTTTGACCTGAAGCAGCTTCTTCTGTTTCGATGTGGGTATGGAAGAAGATAATGTTATGGGAGAAGCCAAGACATCACACTCATGTGGGTGGGTTCTTTGAGGAAGGGTCCTATGTCTCCTGGAGTGTCTCTTCTGGGTGGTCCACTGCACACAGATGGTTCCAGTGATGTGTGTCTGTTCTGGCAGGGAGCCGACGGATGGTGGATGTCATGGATGTGAACACGCAGAGGGATATCGAGATGTCCATGGCGCAGTGGGCACGCTACTACGAAACACCAGAGGCTGAGAGGGAGAAACTTTACAATGTCATCAGCCTGGAGTTCAGCCACACCAAACTGGAAAACCTGGTGCAGAGACCTGCTACGGTGAGCGTGGCTCTTCCCTCCACAGGAATGTCCTTTCCCTTGTGCTTGTGGTCCTCTGTAGGCAAGGTGCAGCCTGGCATTTGAATGCAGGAGGAGAGGGGGATGCTTGTAACATGCATGGGCTCAGCCAGGGATGTCACTGCTGTGCTCTGGAACCTGCTGGAGCTGATCCTGTGTTTGACTGGGATCTCATCTGAGCTCACAGTCATGCTGGGGCTGTCCAGCTTGTGCATCCCTCAGCTATAGTGACCACAGTCCAGTCCCTGGCATGTCATTCTGCAGAGAGCTGACTTGTTTGATAGCTATCAGCAATTAATGACAAAACAAGGGGAAATGGGTTTAAGCTGAAAGAGGGGAGGTTTAGATGAGATATTAGGAAGAAGTTCTTCACTGTGAGGGTGGTCAGACAGTGTCCCAGGTTGCCCAGAGAAGCTGTGGCTGCTCCTCCCTGGAAGTGTTCTCGGCCAGGCTGGATGAGGCTTTGAGCAACCTGGTCTAGTGGAAGGTGTCCCTGCTGCTGGCAGGGGGGTTGGGACCGGATGATCTTTAAGGTCCCTTCCAACCCAAACCAGTCTGGGATTCTAAGAATTAGAGAAATGGAAGTGATTGCCTGAGGAATCATTAGAGTGAAGTAACCTGCTTCTGCTGGCTGATGGTTGAGAACAGGCACAGAGTCTGGACAAGCACCTGAGTTTGAACAGAGAGGTCAGATTTGTGCTCAACCACACTGAGTGTTGGGGACAAGATGGGGACACTGGCTTCCAGCCTCTCCCAGTTAGCTGATCAGCTGCCTGCCAAGGCCTTGGCTGTCCCTCAGCCTTGGTCCTGCCTTTCCTCTGTGCTGTGCTCTGTGCTGCTCTGCTGCGTGGTGCAGAGTCCTCTCCTGCCTCCGCGGCCGTGCTCAGCTCCGTTGTGACCAAAGAGAGGTGTAGGGCAGGGCTGGCTTGCCAGAATGCATGGCCAGGTGTGAAAATCCAGCAGGGCCTAAATCAAACAGCAGAGCTCAGCAGTATGTGCTGCATTCTGAGAGTGTAGCTAAAACCTGGATGCTGGTTGAGCTTTGTGGTTTCCTTGGTGTTTGGAAACCAGAGTTCCGTTAGGACAGCATCCCTGCACTCAGCTGGGGCTCCAGAGGGTTGTGCAGCACGGCAGGGAGGATTTCTGATGCAAAGAACTGAAATCTCTGAGGACAGAGGAAGCCAAGACTTGGAGATGTGCTGGAAGTGGAGCAGGAGACTCTGACAGGGGGGAAAATGAGTTGCCCTTGCTGAAGTGTGGAAGGTGGCATGGTTGGGACAGACATCCTGAACTCCCTCTGCAGTCGGTGGAGAGGAAGGGGCAGCTCTGTAGGGCCACTCACTTCTCTCTGGTAACTGTAGAGGGAGCATGGACATCTCTACCTGCTCTGGCTGTCCTGGAGCTTAGCAAGTTGAATTCCCCTCTAGCAGATGCTACCCAGTATATTCTTTATGTAAGCCCAGTGCAGAGCAGTCCCTGCCTGGCCCCTAAGTAGAAGACCAACACCCCAATATGATGCTTGGGATCTTGCTGTGGTGTTTGCTGCTTGTGTGAATCCAGAGACTCATGGTACAGAAACTGGCATCAGAACAACTGCTCCTAAGTGCTTTATGTGTGAGACTGCACCAGTGGTGTGTGGGAGCCAAAAAGGGGGTGTCATGGCCATTCAGCTAACACCAGAGCTTCCTTTCTTCCTTTCCTTGGTCCTGTTGTTTGTTGTGGAAGTGCTCTGGGCTGGGCTGCCTGGCACAGTCTGCACTCACCATCACAGTGGCTTTGGTGAGCCTGGTGCTACATCCCATGGGTGCTCAGCTGCACATGAGCTGTGGGCTTAACCAGGCAGGCAATAGGTATTGGAGCTTCCAGGACAGCCTGGGGTGGTAGCAAAAGGTTCACTGTGCCCCTTTCATCTCTACTCATGTCTCCCACCTTTCTGCTATAGGTGGATTTGATTGACTGGGTTGATAACATGTGGCCCAGACACCTGAAGGAGAGTCAGACAGAGTCTACGAATGCTATCCTGGAGATGCAGTATCCAAAGGTGCAGAAGTAAGTGACTTCCTGAGCTGTTCCCTTGGCAGCAGGGAGCAAAGCATCCCTTGCAAGGGGATGAAGCAGTTTGTACCAAGAGGAAGCGGGAGGAACAGTCTCCCTGTCCATTTCAGCAGGTGACACTTGTACAGACACTGCAGGTAGTTATTGAAGCCCCTGGTGAACGCTGTGTGAAGGGTGGTCATGTGGCTTCTAGGAGCTCACTGCACTTTGGAGAAACTCTTGGTGCTTGCCACCTTGAGACATCTGGAGTCAGTCGAGCTGCTAGTGCTGCCTGTCCTGCCCTGTTGGCCAGACCTGTGACCTGGGGAGTTCTAGAGCTGCTGGGTGTGTGAGGGTGAAAGCTCTCCTCTTGCCTGGACTAGATCATTTTTGTGGGGATATGATACAAATGCAAAGTGAGCTCTCCTGCAACACACCACCTCCCTGCAGCTAAAGGGCTTAGCACTGCAGTAATTGGCTTCTGGCACTGCTCTGGGCCATTGGCCTGGGTTTGGGCAGCCCATTCCTTTTGAATATGTTATATCTATTTTAAAATGTGAATTATCACTCATTTTCACCTTATCATCATCTTGTTTTCCACCAGATACTGTCTGATGAGTGTCAAGGGCTGCTACACAGATTTCCACGTGGACTTTGGTGGGACTTCTGTGTGGTACCACATCCACCGAGGGGGAAAGGTAAGAGGACAGTCCCTGGTGGGAAAGTTACAGATGTTTTAGGAGAGAGGCTTTTAGTCTGTTCTCTTGAAGATGCAGGTCCCAGACAGCAAACTAAAGTCTTTCCACCTTGAACTTGTTTATTTGTGGTTCTTAGAAGTAGTTCAGGCCCTCAGAGGTTCACCAGGCACAGGCTGAAAACCTGTGTTGTAGAGCTGACGCTGAGACAACCTTATAAAAGTCTAAATGGCATAGAGTAGAAGAACCCAGTTCATCCAGTGCCTTGTGCTTCTGAAACATCACTTGTCTGCATGGCTGATCACCTCTTGTGTTATGTGATGATTTACAGACATGTGTTGTCTTTATTTACAGATTTTCTGGCTGATTCCTCCTACACCCCAGAACTTGGAGCTCTATGAAAACTGGCTTCTCTCAGGGAAGCAGGGAGACATTTTTCTTGGGGACAGAGTGTCAGAGTGCCAGCGCATCGAGCTCAAGCAGGGCTACACATTTGTCATCCCCTCAGGTACTGCAGGGTGGGCAGGCCTTTGCCAGGGTTGTGACAAGAGACTGAAACTCCTAGGACACAAGCAAAACCAGAACAGGCAGGATTTAGCTTCCTCCCTTATGAGTAACTGGGAGAAGGGAGATGTGATGTGGTTCTATCCTCTTGTTTGCCAGCTTCCAAAATATGTCTGTCATGGCACTGGATTCAGCCCAAGCAACAGGAGAGCTGATTGTGCTCCATCAGTTATTAAAGGAGGTTTTCCCAGAGGCTGTCGTGTTGACACGTGGAGCAGAGCACGTTGAGGACAGAGGCTGGCCCAAGGCAGCACAGCTCCTCAGGTTCCTGGGTCTCTTGTGAAATCTCTACAGAGTTAGATTCAAATTATGAAGTGAGAAAGGGAACCAGTGTGTGAGTTTAAGGAACAAGGTGAGTGCTCTGGACACGAGGAGTCTGCATGTGCTGGAGATAAGAGAACTGGAAAGCGTTGGAAAATGTTGGAAAATGCTGAAGCCCAGTAGGGAGTTGGGAAGCTCCATAACATGGAGAGACTTGCAGGTAACTGCTTTGCAGAGGGCTTGAACAAGGAGGCTTTGAGGTTGGGAACACTCTCAAGAATTGAGAGCAGCTAGAAGAAGTCCAGAGGAGGCCACTAGGATGATGCGAGGGCTGGAGCAGCTCTGCTGTGAGGACAGGCTGAGAGAGTTGGGGCTGTTCAGCCTGGAGAAGAGAAGGCTCCGGGGAGACCTTCTAGTGGCCTCCCAGTACCTGAAGGGGCTACAAGAAAGCTGGGGAGGGACTTTTCATAAGGGCAGTTAATGAGAAAACAAGGGGAAATGGGTTTAAGCTGAAAGAGGAGAGGTTTAGATGAGATATTAGGAAGAAGTTCTTCACTGTGAGGGTGGTGAGACACTGTCCCAGGTTGGCCAGAGAAGCTGTGGCTGCTCCTCCCTGGAAGTGTTCTCGGCCAGGTTGGATGAGGCTTTGAGCAACCTGGTCTAGTGGAAGGTGTCCCTGCTGCTGGCAGGGGGGGTGGGACTGGATGAGCTTTAAGGTCCCTTCCAACCCAAACCAGTCTGGGGTTCTATGAGATAAATCTTGAACCTGATTTGGTTTAACAAGCAGAATAATTGGAGGGCATCAGCGGTGTCTGGCATGCACAGTTAGTCCAGTGCTGTGCTAGAGAACAGCAAAGGCAGGAGAGACAAGGCAGATGAAGAAGCAGCTCAAGTTGGTTGTTTGCAGGGACTGGCTCACAGCCTTTCAGAACCTGTGATGGAGATCTGGGATGTCTGTAAAATGTTGTGCTTTCACTAGGGAATACTCCCTTGTAAGGAGGAAGATTGTTGGACCCCTTTGAAGGCTTCTAATAATAAAACTGTTGCATAAAAATTACGTCCCTAAGGCTGTCTGAGGTGTCAGAGGCTGCTGGAACCTGCTGTTTCATCTCCAGCAGCAGTCTGTGGTGTAGCTGACAGCAGGACCAGGAACAGAAAACACCAGGGATTGCACAAGTTACTCATTCAAGTCCTGTTATCACAACTGATGCTTCTTTTGAACTGAGTGGCCTTGCCCTAAGGAAACTCATGCTGGAATTCCCAAAATGTTGGGCTTGGCTGGATTGCCTTGGAGATAAGAACTGAGACTAGAGTTGCTTTGAGAGTTACTTTAACTGTTGAACAGATTTTTTGGAAGACTCTTTCTCGTTGCTCGTGTTCTTGGCCGTAACACAATTGGGAAGCAACCTCCCAGAGACACCAGGATGAAAACAAAAAGAACTATGAGGTGAAAAAAGAGCAGGTGATACTGGCACGTGTGCCACCGTGGGAGGATGTGAGGGCAGATCCACAGGCCTATTTAAGTGTCTAAGGACAACTCTGTCTCTGGGCCTTAGATGAGTCAAGTGAGCTGGGTGTTGAGTAATTCAGGAGGGACAAGGGGTTGACAGCTAGTCTGTGTGCTCACAGCTCACCTGGATGCAGGTTAAGAGTGCAACTGTCTGGGTGGACTCACCTGAGCAGCGTGAAGGTTGTGTAGGTTTGAAGAGCACAGTTCATAAAAGATTGCAAAGGAATTAAATGAGTAGGGACTGTCACTTGTGAGACCTTGACCTAACCTAGTCACTCAGAAGGATTCTTCAGACTCTGCTTTCTCTCCAAGGTTGGATCCATGCTGTGTACACCCCCATGGACACACTAGTTTTTGGAGGCAACTTCTTACACAGCTTCAACATCCCTATGCAGCTCCGGATCTACAGCATCGAAGACCGTACGCGGGTAAGGACCTGGGGGAGAGCTGGGAGGATGTGGCCTCCTGGGATGGTGGAGAGGGCACAGCCAAGAGGGGTGGTGTGCAGGCAGCAAGTTGAGTCTCACCCTGCAGCACATTGCTCAAGCTCCA